GTCAATCAAAGCGATGGTGCGTTGCAAATTTAAATTTGGATAAAATGTGAGCAGTTACTCAGAGTAGTTGATCTCCTTAAAAATAACAAACCAAAGTAGACTATCGAATAAACTATTAGATCAGTTACAAAAATGGATGTCATGAATTGGTGTTATCGATTTGCTGTTAACAAAAAGCATGTGTAGATTATTTAAAGCAAACAGAAACAGAGTGACATATCTTGAGATGCTTTAAAAATGACAATATTCAACACAAAAAAAATGCTGCTGAAAAAAAACAATCTGCCTCTTTACTTTTTGGTGTGTGAAATCTTTGTAACTCTGTACTATTGGCTAAGTTTTGTGTGCTCATTGTTTTGAAGAATATCAGCATATTGCATAAGTGTGTCCTAAAATACAAGTGAACAGAGCACAACAATCAGTCATTTGATCATTTGCTCGCTGTGTATTCCAGTGGCTTCAATAAATGTTCAAATATGTCGTCTTCACTTGTTACAGTTATTTTGTAAACTATGAATGCATGTGACGCTGGTTATGCAAGTACTAATTCACTACACTCATGTTGTGGGGTCTAAATTGCTAGATTTGCAATAGGATTTGTAAATAGCGAATTCTGGACCTGCCAATGCCAAACCTTTGGAATGCTGCTTGGACTCCAAACTTAATTACAACTTGGGTGAAGTTAGTATCCTTATTCCACCCCGCTCAGCTCCTTCCCGCCCCCCCACTCCACCCCCCCAAACCAAAACCCCACCTTTCACATATCAGTTTTGGTTACTAGTCAGCTATGAAAGATGTCCTTCCAAAAAAAAATTAATAATAATAATTGGTCACTCGATCCAAGAATGTTTGTAGGACACTGCTGTGTGCAATTGGCTGCTGTGTTTCGCTCACAAAATATACAGTCAATTCACTTTACAGTATATTCTATAAAGCGCTTTGAGATATCTCAAAGATATAATAAGGCGCCATATCAAAAGCAAAGATTATTATTATTATCTCACGATTTTAAGCTGTGAGCAGATCTTTAAATTTCAAGTTGGACCATTATTAGTAACTACACTTGTGAACACAATGCACCTCATTGTAAGTAGACTTCATTTTTTTTAATGATGAGAAAATGTGTGCAATTTAGATCTTGTTTCCTTTATTATAGTTCCACAGTCAATGATTATACAATGAGCAATAACCCATTTTCTCAAGATGTAATAATGGGAGCAACCAGGTTATCAGAGTATTTAATTATTGGTCAGTATTATCTATCCCTATAGAGCGCAGCGAAATACTATCGCCAATAGGAGAATATGCTGTGTCAGTTCTTCCACTGTTACTCCATATACATAAGAACATAAGAACATAAGAATTAGGAGCAGGAGTAGGCCAGTCGGCCCCTCGAGCCTGCCCCACCATTCAATAAGATCATGGATGATCTATTCTAACTCCACCTACCCACCTTATCCCCATATCCCTTAATCCACAAGAAATCTATCAATCTCAGTCTTGAATATGTTCAAGGACTGAGCATCTGCAGCCCTTTGGGGTAGAGAATTCCATAAATTCACTACCCTCTGAGTGAAGAAGTTTTTCCTCAACTCAGTGTGAAAGGGCTTACCCCTAATTTTAAGACTGTGACCCCTGGTTATAGTTTCTCCAACCAGGGGAAAAAGTCTCCCACTATCTATTCTGTCGTGCCCCTTTATAATCTTATAGGTTTCTATAAGATCACCTCTCATTCTTCTATATTCTAGAGAATATAGGCCTAAATTGCTCAACCTGTCCTCATAACTCATCCCCCTCATCCCAGATACCAACCTAGTGAATCTACGTTGTACCCCTCCAAGGCGAGTACATCCTTTCTTAAATAAGGAGACCAAAACTGCACACAATACTCTAGGTGTGGTCTCACCAGGGCCCTATACAGTTGCAGCAAGACTTCCCTACTCTTATATTCTAACCCTTTTGTAACAAATGCCAACATACCGTTAGCCTTCCTAATTGCTTGCTGCGCCTGCAAACTAACTTTTTGTGACTGGTGTACAAGGACACCCAAGTCCCTCTGAACGCTAACTCTATCTAGTCTCTCCCCTTCTAAAAAATAATCTGCTCTGCTGTTTTTGCCATCTAAGTGGATGACTTCACACTTCCCTACATTATACTTCATCTGCCACCTATTTACCCACTCACTTAGCCTATCTATATCTCGTTGCATTTTTTTAATGTCATCCTCGGTGTTTACTCTTCCTCCTAGTTTAGGGTCATCCGCGAATTTGGATATATTAAGTTCGATGTCCTCATCTAGATTGTTGATGTAGATTGTAAATAGTTGAGGCCCAAGCACTGATCTGGCCTAACGGTCCACCGACAAATCTGGCTGGACCTCCTCAAAATTTACCGCTCCACTCTAGCCTCGGCCAAGTCGTCCTTCTACTCCAGGATAATCCTGGAGGCGAAGAACAACCCCAGGCTACTGTTTTCCACCACAACCCGACTCCTCCGTCCCCCCCGCCACCCCGCGCAGGTCATCTCCTCCAACCTTCACTGCGAGGAGATGCTGGATTTCCTTGAATCCAAGATCAAGGGAATTCGCTCCGCGGTCACTTCCCCTCCAACATCCACCTACCCCCTCACTCCCACACTCCGACTGCTACCCATCCTCCCCTACTCACTTTTGTACCCGTTTCCCCATCCTCTGTCACCAAACTCATCCTATCCCTGAAACCAACCACCTACTCCCTTGACCCCATCCCCACTCCACTCCTTATCTCCCAGCTCCACTTTCTTGCCCCACATATCACCGACATCGTCAACCTGTCCCTCTCCTCTGGCTCTGTCCCCATTCCCTTAAAAACTGCCACCATCACGCCCACCCTGAAAAAACCCTCCCTTGATGCGTCGCAGCTATCAAGCTACCGGCCCATCTCCAACCTCCAACCTCCCCTTTCTCTCCAAGGTCCTACAAATGGCTTCTCCTCCACCCCCCGCACTGTCTCATGTGGTGTCCCTCAGGGCTCTGTCCTCGGTCCCCTCCTCTTCACCCTCTACATGCTCCCCCTTGGTGACATCATCCGCAGACATGGAGTTAACTTCCACATGTATGCGGATGACACCCAACTCTACCTTTCCTCCTCTACTCTCAACTCCACGACCACCGATGTCCTGACAGCCTGCCTGTCTGACATTGAGTCCTGGACGAGAGACAACTTTCTTCAGCTCAACGTGCGAAAAACCGAGGCCCTCCTGATTGGCTCACGTCAGCGCCTCCGCACCTCAGGCGCCGACACCATCAGCATCCAAGGCTGCACTCTCCACCTCTCAAAGCCAGTCAGGAACCTCGGCGTTTTGTTCGACCCTGAGCTGTCCTTTCTCCCTCACATCCGCACCACAACTGGCACCGCCTTCCATCACCTCCGGAACATCGCCAGACTACGGCACTACCTCACCCCTCACGCTGCTAAAACCCTGGTCCACGCCTTTGTCACCTCAAGGCTGGACTATGGGAACTCTCTCCTCGCCGGCCTTCCCGCCACCTCCCTCCACAAGCTGCAGGTCATTCAGAACTCTGCAGCTCGTGTACTGTCCCGCACCAGGCTTCGGGAACACATCACTCCCACCCTCGCTCGCCTCCACTGGCTCCCCATCCCCCAGAGGATTGATTTCAAGATCCTCATCCTCACCTATAAGGCCATCCACGGCCTTGCTCCCTCCTACCTCACTGACCTACTATCCCCCTACCTACCCGCCCGTACCCTCCGTTCCTCCGGCTCCGGTCTGCTCCACGTTCCCCGCCCCAACCGCCCTACCATCGGTGGTCGGGCCTTCAGGCTCTCAGCCCCCAGGCTCTGGAACTCCATCCCCCAGTGCCTTCGCCTTGCTTCCTCCCCCTCCTCCTTCAAGGCCGGTCTCAAAACCTTTCTCTTTGACCGTGCCTTCAGCTCCCCTCTCGACTCTCTTCCCCTCCTCGCTCCCTCCCTTCCCTCCCCTCACCCTGACCATTTCCCCCTCCTCGCTCCTTCCTGACCCAACTGTGCAGCGCCTTGGGACGTCCTCCTGACGTGAAAGGCGCTTTATAAATGGAATCTTGTTGTTGTTGTTGTTGTTGATCCTTGACGCACTCCACTAGTCACATCCCACCAATCTGAGAAGGACCCGTTTATCCCTACTCTTTGTTTTCTTCCCATTAGCCATTCTTCAATCCATGCTAATATATTCCCCTTAATTCCATGGGCCCTAATCTTGTAGATCAACCTTTTATGCGGCACTTTATCGAATGCCTTTTGGAAATCTAAATACGCTACATCCACTGATTCCCCCCTATCTAATCTACTTGATATGTCCTCAAAAAAATCTAAAAGATTTGTTAAGCATGACTTCCCTTTTGTAAAGTCATGTTGACTCTGTCTAATCATATTGTGATCCTCTAAGTATCCCACTACGACATCCTTAATTAAGGATTCTAGAATTTTCCCTACCACCGATGTCAGACTAACTGGTCTACAGTTCCCCATCTTTTCTCTCCCACCCTTCTTAAATAGTGGTGTGACGTTTGCGATCTTCCAATCAATGGGAACCGTTTCAGAATCCAAAGAATTTTGGAAGATATACAGTAAACCCCCTTCTTACTTGACTCCAGGGATTTGGAATTTGAACAAAGCTGGCCAAAAATTTCCATAGGCCGTGTGTAGACTCCCGCTGGCCCAACTCTCCTAGCTTACGCTGAGCAATCTCACTATCCCTAGGTACCAATGCAAACTGTGGATCAAAATTAAAAAAAAAATCCATGCATTTGATATAGCGCTTTTCACATTTAGACGTCTCAAAGCGCTTCACAGAATAGTCTGTAAAGTGAATTGACGGTATATTTTGTGAGCAAAACACAGCAGCCAATTGCGCACAGCAGTGTCCCACAAGCAGTCATGGATTGAAGTGACCAAATTATTATTGTTTTTTTTTCTTGACGGATTATTATCAGGCGTGTGGAATAAGGAAACTTGCCCAAGGTTTTGCCCTGCCGGGAATCAAACCCGGGTCTCTCACTTACAAGGCGAGTGCTCTAACCACTGAGCTACAAGATCCGACAAGGAGCTGCATCTCACTGCATACAGAACTAACTTTGATTTAACAGACAGTTATGCTGAAGGCTGCAATAGCTAAAAATAAAGAACCTTTCACTTAAAGGAATATATACACCATCCACATGACTTATTAGACTTTTGAGTATATGTTTTAGTTTGGACAGAGTTTCTGTCTAATGACTGAGTCAGTGAACATTGTATCAGTTCAACACTAAAAGTGAAGCATGAATAGGCACTTTCAATTGGCCAAATGTTTTTGAAATAAATTGAGAGAGTGGCTCTTTAATCCTGAGTCCTAATGATGAGTGTCTTGCACTGGATCCTGTACCATTTGTTATTTTCCGAGATCCTTGGATAATGGTTTTATTCATTTAGAAACACACCTTCATGTAAAAAGCACAAAATTATATACAGAAAATGGATTTAGTGCTCTCCATAGTTGTGTCAGAGCTGCTCTCAAACTGAGTAAATGGATGTCATCTTAATAGTTTTAAACAATGTTACCTTTTCAGATACCCAAGATAGCCTATGTATCAGTAAAATAAATCACTGGCTTGGCAATTAGGGGGTACTTTTTCAAGAAATGCCTAAAAGGTGAATGAATTTAATTTCCATTGCATTGGGCTCTATGTTGTGTGTACCCAAATAAGTGATCTAATTCCACTTTTCGTTCTTTCAAAGTGCTTTCAAAACCTCTAATGCTAATGTGACCTTTGCTAATGATGTAGGTGTACGAGTGTTCATTTTGTACCCAAGCCACCTTTCATAAAAATGCATTTGTTAAATGCGCTCAGCCACACAGTCTCGAAATGCCCAATTATTAATAAAAAAAATCACTTTATTATGGATTTATTTTTCTATTTATTTCTCCGCTCTAGTGAAGTTGTTTATGCCTGTGCACAAATGGGGAGCATCTATCAGCTAAGTATTAGTCCCATTTTGCTAACTGGTATTGTAGAGAACGACCTGTACCCATTGCAGCTACTCTTGCAATCGAAGGATCCAATATGGAATGTCGATTGACACACAGAGAGCCACACAGACAGATTGAGAACATCAAGGCTCTGACCATCTTTATACTCATCTGGGAGGACTCCTGTGGGATGTCTCCTTTTGGAAGGACTCAGCACTTTAGCAGTGTAATTTTGTTGTTGTTGCTGTGACTTAGCTTTGTCTGTGTTCTTTATTATGTTCCTGACGCTTGGCTACGTACGTGTTCTGTGACGCAGGATGCCACAACGTCACTTTGACTCGGCGGCCACCAGGTGTAACTGCAGTGAAAAACTCATAACTGAAAATAACTCATAAACGATAGGAGATACCTGAAAACAAGCATGCTCCTGACACTCCCAGATGCAAGACCTTTTTGATGAGTTATAAATCATATCTTTGTGTCAATGGGTTATTGAGAGCCTTCTTGAAGCGCAGACAGACATTGTCGTTTTATTAGTATAGATAGAAGAAGAAGATAGGTAGAAGAAGATAGATTGCACAGAACACTACAGCACAGAAAGAGCCCATTGAGCCCAACTAGTGTTTGCACTCCACAAGAGACTCACCACCTCCTATTGGCCTCTCCCATACTCCTATAACCCCTTGTCCCTCATGTATGCATCAAGCTTCCTCTTAAATACATTGACTTTGTTTTGTATTATGAGATAAGATGTATTGGCCTACAAATAGTCATTTCTCTTGATAGTAATTAGTTGTGAATCACTTTAAGACAAAATATTAAGACTCTATCAAATGAAAGCTTCTCCTTTCTAACTTTTTTGGGGTATGGAACCCCACTACTTACTCTCTGCTCCCTTAACTTCACTGTTTGCATTCAACACTGCAGTCATGTGAGGCTGGGGTGGCGGGTGGGCGGAGAGCATCCATGTTTTTGCCAATACTTCTTTGAAGAGGCTACTAGGAAGGATATAAGCATGAGACATATGAGAATGGGTCCTGTGACTTGTTGCCCCACTTGCTTCAAGCTAAATTTATTTGATTCTCTTCATAATTCATACCTAACTGTGACAGCTCTTCATTTATAACAGTGAAAGCTGTATTCTACCTATAAGAGGTTTCCCAGCAACATTTTTAAATTACTAGTTTTCAGCGTTTTTCAGACAGATGATGTGTTTTGGACCTATTTTAACTCTATTAAGCCTACACTCATCTAAGATGTCAACACTGCTCTTTTAGCACCTCACTTGCACTCTTCCACAAAATACAAGCAAAAGAATGGAATCATGTTTGATTTTTAACCAACAGCCTTTATCTATGTTATTAATAGTACTGTGGATATTGCTCCTTCACACTTTTTTCTTCCTCTTAAATGTCAAATACATCATCACAGCGCTTCTTCTCTTCCCTGCATGTTCACTGTATCAAAATCAACTCTCTAACTCTAATTTGCCCTTTTCCAGAACCTAATAGCTGTAAGACCTCTGTACGTCTCTCAGTCTTTCCTATCTCCTGCAATCCACTTCCCTTTTACCAAAAACATACCTATGTTTCTAAACTTAGACACTATTTCTTCATTTACTGCTGTCATCTCTTCGACCATCCTGTTCGCTCCCTCCGCTCAGCGGGCTCTGGCCTGCATCACGTCCCCCCACCTTGCTCGCCCCACTATCGGCAGGCGGGCCTTCCGCCACTCTGCACCCACCCTCTGGAACTCCATCCTGCAGTCCCTCCATCTCGCCCCCTCCCTCGCCACCTTCAAGACCCACCTCAAGACCCTCCTCTTCGACCGTGCTTTCGATCTTCCTGCTTCCCCCCTGCCCTCCACCCTCCCCCACCCCGACCCCCAGCTCGAGTCCGAAACTCTGTCTGTCCAGCGCCTTGGGACGTTCTCCCGACGTGAAAGGCGCTATACAAATGTAATTTTGTTGTTGTTGTTATTATCATCATTCCTATCAACCCCATCTCCAACCTCCTCTTCCTCTCCAAGGTCCTGGAATGAGTTGTTGCTTCTCAGCTTCGCTCCTTCTTCTCCCGCCACTCCCTTCTCGAACCCCTCCAATCGGGTTTCCGTGCCGGCCACAGCACAGAAACCGCCCTGGTCAAAGTGACAAATGACATTCTGTCCATCTGCGGCCAGAGCTCCCTCTGCCTCGTCCTCCTTGACCTCTCTGCTGCTTTCGACACCGTTGACTCATCCACTGCCTCTCCTCTCACCTCAACCTCCACAGTGCTGTCCTTGACTGGTTCAGATCCTATCTCTCACACCGCCTGCACTTCATCTCCTCAAACAGCTTCTCCTCTCACCTCCGGACCGTCTCGTGCTGCATTCCTCAGGGCTCTGTCCTTGGTCCCCTCCTCTTCAACATCTATATGCTCCCTCTTGGTGACATCATCCGCAGACATGGGGTCAACTTCCACATGTGTGCAGATGACACCCAACTCTTCCTCTCTGCCTCCACCGTTGACTCCAGGACCACTGCTGTGCTGACAGAATGTCTGTCAGACATCAAGTCCTGGATGAGAGATAACTTTCTTCAGTTGAACGTCAAAAAGAACGAGGCTTTCCTGATTGGCTCCTGTCAGCGCCTCCTCACCTCAGGCACTGACAGTATCACCATCCATGGTTGCACACTCCACCTTATTACGCCAGTCCAGAACCTTGGGGTCTTGTTTGACCCTCAACTATCCTTTCTACCCCACATCTGCACCATGACCCACTCTGCCTTCCCCCACCTCCGCAATGTCGCCTGGCTCTGATACTGTCTCACATCAAAGGCCGCTAAAACCCTCATACACGCCTTCATTGCATTGAAGCTCGACTATGCAAACACTCTGTTTGTCGGCCTCCCTAACTCCTCCCTCCACAGGCTGCAGATCATCCAGAACTCTGCAGCCCGTGTCCTCTCCTGCACTAGGCAGAATGTCTATCAGACATCAAGTCCTGGATGAGAGCTAACTTTCTTCAGGTGAACGTTAAAAAGACCGAGGCTCTCCTGATTGGCTCCTATCACCCCCATACTTGCCCAACTCCACTTACTTCCCATCACACAGAGGCTACCCTGTTTGCTCCCTCTGCCCAGCGGGCTCCGGTCTGCTTCACGTCCCCCGCTTTGCTCGCCCCACTATTGGTGGGCAGGACTTCCGCCACTCTGCACCCACCCTCTGGAACTCCATCCTGCTGTCCTTCTATCTCGCCTCTTCTCTCGCCACCTTCAAGACCCACCTCAAGACCTTCCTCTTCGACCGTGCTTTCGATCTCCCTGCTTTCCCCCCACCCCGACCGTCAGCTTGTGTCTGTAACTCTGTCTGTCGAGTGCCTTGGGACGTCTTCCCGACGTGAAAGATGCCATACAAATGTAATTTTGTTGTTGTTGTAAATCAATTTATCCAAGGCTTCTTCTCAGTTTACATGGTGCAATTGTACTTTTGTAATACATTTGCTGTGCAATTGTAAGATACATAGGTAATTGTACATTTGCTTAAATGATGTGAGTGGTTATGCTTCAATTGTTTAGAAGGTGCAATGTTACTGAAATAGTTTCCTTTCACTGCTACTCTGACACGCAACCAATACAATTCAAACAAGAGATGTCCAAACGCTTGTCTCTTCATTTGCACTGAAGCACATTTCCTTTTTATTACAGCTTTGCTGTGCACTTTTGTAAAGTTATTACCCATGATTGGTACCCATTTATGATGTATGATTGCTGAAGTGGGTGGTTGTTTTCTATGGGGGGTGAAGGTTGAATGATCGAGAAATGAGCGATGAGTGAACATTCTAAAGCATTTGCTTCTTTATTTTTGTGGATCAAATGCTCTGAGACGTCCTCCCGATGTGAAAGACGATATATAATTATAAATTGTATTATATCAGAGAATCAGAACCAGGACTTTCCCCTAAAGATTGAGTTCTTGAGTAGATAGGTTACATTTTACATGGCTTCAGAAGAACAAAGGGACAGAATGTCTTCTTATTCCATGCTTTATATTCTCATGATCTTTCTCTTTTTTGTGTCATTCTGAATGCTTTTAATTTTACAGCAGAGCTAAC